TCTTCATAACAGAAAGTAGCTTATGAAGCATTTTTAGATCAACTTCTTTCCTCTAAGGATAAAATCAGTAACAGAACTGATGAGAGTGGAGATGAGTGTGTCATGATCAATGGATATTTCACATTATATCAGTGAAGATGTCCAATGATGTTGCCTACAGAGCAACAGCAGGTAGGAGAGATCAAAGCCAAACAGTAGTGCAGATATATTATTAGACAGAGATGCTAAGTTTGTCAAGAACAGAAGGTATGACAGTGCTCACAGCTATCTCTGTTTGAAATATACTCAGCTCTTTCATTCCAGAAATAACTAGGAAATTCTTTTTGTATGGAAACTAGTACTTTAAGGTTTTTAGCCCGTGGAATGATTAACGTCCAAGCGAGACTACAAATAGAAAAAAGATTGGCAAGCGCTCTGAACCTCTGAAATGAGTATGTAACGCATTTGATAATATCAGGGGAAGCTTTCACAAGCACACTTGCAAAAGCCGGAGCCCCTAACTTCCTTCTGGGACAGAAGAATACTCTTTAGAATGCCAGAACATCATCCTTTCTGTCTTCTCTTTGACCAATGAGGAATGAAAATGATGTTTCTGTGGAAGTTAGACCAGTAGTCAGGGCTGTGATTTTTGGAAGACCTTTGCCACTCAAATATGTTTACTGGATTCCAGCCCCACTCATTAGCTAGAGGTGATTGGAGTAAGTATGACAAACCAGCTTTATGGTCTTGCCTGAAGAGCTGTGATTTCAGAATCATTCAGTAGTTTAGTTCCAGTTACTGCTAAGATATGACATGAAAAAGATCTATTTAGCTCTCCAGGACCTACAGCAGCACCTGGTCCTCTACAGCAGTAGTGGCAAAGAGCTGATGTCTTAAGATAAGGAAACTGAAGTCAGCGTTATTATTGATTATGGTTTCACTGAGAGCCAGGGGAAAGTAGTAGTTAAAAAATGTTTTCTTTTACATTTAATTTTTAACTAAGTAACTGGAGCCTGAGATGTGCCTGCATGTGTATTGACTTTGGCTGGAAAAGTTGCCAACATTTTCATCCCCTTGAAATCAATATTGTATCTCACCTTGTCTGCAGTGGGAACAGTGGCCAAAAATGCAAATCCCATCCAAAAATTATAAAAGAAACAAAGAATTGCAGCATGCAGTAAAACCTGACATGGCTGTGATTCAGAAAAGCACTCAGTGCCCTCCAGGGAAGTAAATCACATAAAAGCAAGGGACATTCTCAGTGTTTCGAACCCTCTCAGGAAGACCAATCACCATTTTAATGGTGTAAGATTATGTATTCTATACCATCATGGAATTTTTCCACCTTTGAGATTTTTTTTTTTAATCACATACACACACACACAAAAAAAAGCTACCTCTTTCTTTTCACATATGCCTTTGTCTCCACAGCTGATCACTGAGTCCCCCTCCCCCTTCAGAAAGCAACAGCTGTTGTGAATGTCTAATCAGATTGCCCAGCTAATTAGTAATTTTAAATGGACTAGTGTGCTTTTTCTCCCTCTCTGCCTTGTGATTTCAGTGTCAATGACTTACTGAAGTCCTAATGAGGAAAGATGTTACATAAATTTGGGATAAGAAGGGTGTTTATTTTCCCAGCAGAGCTCACAATTAACGTATGCTGTGCGTAGAGGCATAGCTTCATTTAACTTGGTCTGCCCACTCTTTACTGAAATGAATAAATCTTGCTTCTCATTCAGTGTATCCTGTTGTGTTAAATGTGCCAAAGCGATTTAAAACTGGTGGATTCTGTAGGCGTACAGAGTTGTTACCAGTCTTTGCGTGCTCAAGAGACATTCCTCCACACACTACCATTAGTTTGAAGCAAGACATAAAATGGTCTCACTTGCCCTTTCAAAAGTGTTTTCCAAGCCATTTCCTTGCAAATAAGCCATTGAAAATGCAATTTTCCCTTGTTTCTTGTTGTTTTTCTTCTGTAGGGCACTGTTTTATTCATGGTGTGGTCACAGCTAATAGGGGAATAACTGCCATCTGTAAGGGTTGTTTATAAATAGCCAGGAATCATTGCATTTTAAAACCATTTCTCAAGATAACTTCATGACGTTGATTTTGAAATGATTCATGATAATAATTTTGAAATGATTTTTTTTCCAAAGGTTTTTAACTTTGTTTGTTTGTTAAGAATGAGATTTTAAAAAGAAGAGCATTAAATTAAAAAGGCAGTTTTTAAGTGGAGGTTGACATCTCCAAGCTTTCCTCTGATCACCTCTGCCAGTCAGTGCTGGCATGTAGGAAAACAGATTCCAAAGAAAAAGGACTTGCATATTTTGAAAGTACAATCAAATGTTTAAGATGGTTGAAACGTGTGAACCTAATGTGTTCAAGACTTAGCAGCTTTTAACAAATATATGTTTGTGGTTTTTACTTTTAGAAAATGGACAGCATCATCAGCTATCTTTCTTGTGGAAAAGTCCTACTGAATTGCACGTAATGCCAGCAGGCCTTAGAATACAGAGGATGATTTAGCTCACAACTACTGGGGGGGATGAAGAGTATTTAAGCTTCTCTGTATAAATAGTAGGGCCCTGTGAGCCATGAATCAGTCTCCCTGTAGAAAATAATGACCTTTGCTTAAAAAACTCAGTGTTTCTGTAAATACTAAAAATTCCTTTATCTTTTAGCTTTCTGTTTTTTGAGACTTTAGGGCTTTCATTTTCCATGCTTTGATCTGTGACTCTGAGGATATGAGTAATTCTTAAAGGGAAGTGAAGTTTCTTCATTGACCACATGAATGCAAGAGCTGAGCTTTTATGAAAGATAATTCAATGTTATGAAATTAATGATGAACCCACCTGAACTGGCTTAACTGAGAGGACAGCTTTAGAGCATGCAAGGCACCGGAATGGATGGAGCAAAGGGAAGATGAATGATTCTGAGCTCTGGAGTCACACCACAACATTCACATACTGCACTCAGAGTTCATCTTAATTGTTTCTTTTTCTCACAGACACAAAGCAAATGCTTTCCTAAATGCACTCTTTCAAGCATAATTTGTTTGGGTACGCTGATAGGTTCACCCTATATAAATAAGCTAAATTTCTGTCTGTCTGATAATTTCTATCCACTTACTGTCCTCAAGACTTCTTTTTGTTGTCTTTTAGATAAAGATTTGGTACTCCTGTGTCCCTCACTTTATCATTAAATTACACTTGCTGGAAATGTGCTCTTGGTTTAGTAATGCTTAGTACAAAGGTACAGGCCCTTCTGACCTACATGCAGAGGTCAGAGTTGTGGTTCAGAGAGGGAAAGAGCTTTCTTTCCTTTTGTAAGAAATGTCCCCACTGTTGGCATTGCAAATATTGGAACGGTTCCTCTGTGACTCAGTAGTTGAGACCTGCCAGTCTGTTAGCGAAGTTCTTCAGAATGGACTTTGGTTAATCTTTATTCAAATTTAACTTTCTCTTGGAAATTCTAGCTGTTTGTTTTCTGTTGCTGCTGCGTTTGTGGTTAGTGTGTTAAGATCTACATCACAATAACAGGAAAATGAAGAATGACATTAGTATGGATTTTCGTTTGGCATCAGCTGGCTGTATCATAACTCCAGCAACAGCTGAAACAGCCAGATATGTATGTATGTGTGTGGTTCCTCAACCATATCGGTTTTTGCACAGTAAATCCATTAGCGCTGATTGCTTCCCTTTCTCTAAATGGCCTTGCTTTTTCAGTTCATTTTGCTACATCTAAATGTAATTCAACAAATGACCTTCAGTGAAAACCGAAAAGGAAGGGCATGAGTGTATTATATAATTTAATGCATTAGTCAGAAACTAGCAGATGAACTTGTTAAGGGTGAGTCATGACTTTATTGCCTGCATCATCTCGATGTAAAAAGGATCTCTGTAGTTTTTTTGCCTCCAACCTTATTTATTCTGTCCTGCTCTGTAAGCCACATACCTTCTCTGTGCATGGCTAGGAAGGCACACTGTATGGAAGAGGCACCTGCCTTCGCTCTGGGTACAGCATGCATTTTTAATTATACCTGTTCATTTTCCTACCTCTGAAACCTCACATTTTTGTTGTTTTTCTTTCTGAGCAAATTGTAAACATGGCTCCAGCACAGGTTGTGCTTAAAGTCTACAGGGACATGCTTGGTGCTTTATGGTAGGTTGCACCACGCTGCCTCGTGCTCTGGAAAGCTCAGGCCTGGCTGCCAGGGCAGGAAGCAAGCATGACACCTCATCTCAGGGCAGGTTGCCCACGTGCTGCGAATGCTCTCTCAAAGGGATAATTTCAGTTTCCAAATTATTCGTTGTTTTATGGTGGTGTCTTGGGCTTGATGTGGAGCCCACAGTGTAAAATCTGAGCTGCTCTCACAGCAGTTCACGCACTGCCTTGTTGTGCAGCAGCTGAAGCCAGCTGGGGGAAGGCGTGATTTTCCCCATGACCCAGACTACTTTGTGCATTTTTTGAAGTGCTTGTGCACTTCTCAGCACCCGAAGTTGCACACTGTTCCTAAGCAGTTGCAACACCTCGCTGCCTCCGGAAGCAGAGGCCTTCCTTCCTCCTCACAGCCCTCTCAGTGCCCCTGCTACCTGCTGCCCCGTTCCCAGCCCCCTCCTGTCCAGCTGCAACTTTCTGGTGCCAGTGCAGCCCCACGGCTTGCCTGCACAGGGTCAAAAGTAGCAATAGGCTCCTTCTCAGGAAAGAGGTTGTCAGTTTCTTCTCAAGATTGCAGCCTTTATGCTGTCTCTTCAAATATCCCCTAAAGCAAGAGGCAAAGCAGCTGCTTAATAGAGTAGATCCAACAGACCCTTCAAGGTCAGATCTGTGAGTCAAGCTCTTTATTACCAGGGCCACGCCAAGGAGTCTGTTTTTTAAGGCACTTAACCCTCCAAGCGAGCAGTGCTATCAGAAATAATTGCAGTGATGCAGTTCCCTTTTCAAAACAAGCCAGCATTTGTTAGCTCAATGAAGACAGTTGGCAGTGCCCTTTGATTAGAGGGCCTGGGCAAAATCCAAACCATGTCTAAGGGCATATTTTGCTATTCTCAGTCATGTCCTGCTGCTTTCCCTCTGTCTCTCTCCTCTCTGTGCTTCTTCTTACACATCTTTGTCTCCTTATGCCTTGTCCTTTAAAACTTTAAGTTCCAAAATCACTCCTCAGCTCCTGGACCTTTCTATTATCTCCACCACAGTGTTCTTCCCTCAGGAAAAGCCCAAACATTTCGCACCAGATTTCCCTGGGTATGTTTGCTCACATTTTAATTTCTGTAGCTGAGGGCAGTTTTTGACTGTTGACCCACCTCTCCCTCACCAGCAGCACATGGGGCACAAGAGAAGAAGAAATGTAGATCAGAAAAGGCAACACCCAAAGCCCCTCATTCCTCAAAGTTCTTTTACTGAGTTACAAAATGACTGCCAAAGGACCCCTGAAATTTTGTATACAGCGGTAAGTTAAATATTTCTAATTCATGTGTGCTAATAGAAAAACATTTTCATAGTCTGCAACCGATCACTTGCATGCTGGAAGTGCAGAATCTGGCTTACCGAAATGAAGGATGTCACCTCTTGTGCCTAAATGCTCTTCATAGTCGTTGTGAGGGCTTTGTGAAAAAGGTGGTCCTGTTCACAGCCAAGTCAGTAATAAGACTAGGAGAATTATTAATGATGTATCTCACTGAGAGAGCATTTGGAGTACTTAGTAAAGTGATACATGATACCCCGTGTGTACACAGACAGGTCCCAGACAGCAGTGGGCAGCAGTGGCCCCCTAGCATCATCCTAGTGATATGAGCAGGGGAGCATTGCTTGAGGAGATTTCTTCCTTCCATGTCACTTAAGGATGTAATTCCTTCCGATTTTGGCGCATTTGATTTCTTTCTTTTCTGCCCATATCTGTTGTGACACCAACAGCATGTGTCAGAGAGTCCTTGATTCTGGGACATCTGGGTCCACATGTGGCTGTGTTGAGCAGAAACTTATGTTATGCAAACAGTAAATCCTACTGACTACAGGCAAAGAAGAGAACTGGTTTGCTCTGGGATGTGGCCTTATGGCATGTAGTCATTATTTCCATTTCAGCCCCACCTCTGAAGTAGATGGCTGCTTTCATTATACTCACAGCAGAAATACTGGTGATTGCACATTAATGCCCTCTCTGCCTTTGCAGCAGCAAGACAGGTCAGCTCCTCTTAGTCCCTGCGTGCATGCTGTGTTTGTGTCACCCAGCAGCAGTATTTCTGCTAATGTGGGTCCCACCTTTGCCTGTTTGAGGGAGATAGAGCTTGAGAGACCTCTGAAGAAGCGGCTGTGGACATCCTCTTCTAGGGCAGGGAAGGACAGTTGTGGGCTCCCATCACGGTACAGGTCTGCAAGCTGCTGACATTCTGGGCACAGGGACTCTTCGTATCTCTGAACGGCTTGCCCAGTGCTGTGGGCTGCCAGGAGCCAGAGATACAAACACATGAGCAACGGTCCTGTGGGGTCTTCTCCTTTTCCTGGAAAGATTTGCATGCTCTCCTTATAGAATAATTGTGGAGCATGGCAGCGTTATCAAAAGTAGTTCACACTAATTTTTTTGATTACTTGGCTTCCCAGATATATTTTGAAAACATCTTCTGGGGCCATCCATAGGACTTATATAAATAGCTTCAGTAGAAAAAAAAAAAAAGGTTTGAAAGGAGATTACTAATAACGTTGAAATCATCATCTTAAAAGGTATTTTGTCTCTCCCTCTCTTTCTAGTTTTATAAACACTTGTATGCTAGGTAGCTACTTTTTGCATTAAGATGACTCATTACTGCTGCGTGGCTCTCTGCAACTTTTCATTGCTTAACTCCTTTTGATCATTAGGAGCTCTTCTGTTTATTATGTCTATATCTGGTTAATGAGGCAGCTCCACTGGGTGCTGTTAAATCTGCCTCTCTTCAGCAGTACTGCTTGGTGACTGGCTTCTCCTGTCTATGCATTTGCATTTAGGGGGTGTGAAGAAAAATCACACACATCTCAGCCAGAGGTGTAGCCCGCAGTTGGTATTACAGCTTGTGATAGTGCTGGGAAGATGAGTACCCTAACCAGAGGCTGAGCCCAGCCCACTTCTTCCAGATGTGAGCCCGTGTGGTGGGACTCTGTGTGGGTAGGTGACCGTCCTAGGGACAGAATGTGCTGGAGGTTTGCAAGGCCCTAGGAACCCACTGGCACCACTGAGAGCCTTGGCCTGAGGGATGTGCACAGTCAGAAGCTGTCTGAGAAGAACTTGCACAGGATTGCCAGCCTCTTTGGAAGATGCTGACATTTCAAGAGTATCAGAGCAACTAAAGGACACAACGGGAGTCCTGCTCTGCTAGGGCATCACAGCACGGAGAGCTATTTTTTTGTCTCTTGTGCTCTGTTTGGTCTGTTAGCCTGATTACAGTCTGTCACGCACACAGCTGCTATGGAAGTGTGCATGTAAATATTCACAGAAATAAATAAGCCAGCTTTGATAAATGCACCTCTGCTCAATTAACCTAACCAGTGTAAATCACTATAGATATTAAGAGCAGGGATAATAAGCAAAACTTTTTCCATTTGTGTATATAGCAGATGTTAGAAGATTTATGTTCTTTGTTCTGATAGCAGTCTCTGTAGCATATGCTAATCAAGTGGATTAACACATTGATTCTGCTGTAGAGATGGAGGAAAGGAGGGGTTTTGTTAGGATGTTTACTCTTGAAAATGAGAATTTAATCCTTAAACAAAACAGAGAAGGCCCTGAACATAATCAGTAGTGCTTCCGAAGCTGGAGTGCCCAGGACCTCCATCTATCTACCACAGAAATGCCAAGGGCTATGTGAATCATGGCCAGATCCAAGCATGCCCAGCACATGCAGTCTTGAGGATCTCCCCTCTTCTTCTTTCTCTCTCCTCTCCTTCTTCCCAGGACTATTACTATGGTGGAGCAATGCAGAAAGAGCTGAGCTTCTGTGGACATTACTTGAAGTGAAAAGTACCAAATACTTTCCTAAAGGTACTAGACATATAGTGAATAGAAGCTTCTAACATGTTGTCATTTATTTATCTTCCATTTGCATGCTGGCCACACTGGTACGTGGAGCCTCTCTGCTCCACATCAGCATTAAGGTTGGGGGACAAAATCTCAGTCTGCCTGAGGATGCTCCTGTGCAGTGTCTGATTACTCTGTGTCCCTCTGAGGCTCAAGCCAAACTAGCACATGCTGCTCCTTTGCTGGAGGCTGCCAGGTGAAGATACTGGCAGAAGTGCCCAGCAAGACCTTAGAAATAAAGCCTGATCGATGGAAGAAAGAGGCAAAAGGGAGCAAGCAAATCTAATTGTCTACAATACTGCAATTAGTCCCTGGCAATCTTAGTTTCCTTTTAGACAACTGCATCCTTCCACAAGAAAAGATGTAAGGCATATGATATTTGATGCTTGGCACAAGCTGGAAAGTTCAGAAACTGACTCCCAGGCCTTGTGTCCACTAGAACCTGGCTAACTCTTTGTGTTACGTTTACTTGATCCACAGCTCAGATTACAGCTTCAAAAGAGAGCACAGAATGTGATAAAATGGAAGTTTAACTATATCAAAGAAATTTGCATCTTTTGTGCCTCATCTATCTCTTGATGAATTGTTGCAGCTTGGCTTAAATGAAAACTAAAAGAAACCTAAATCTTCTACCCATTCAGGGTTTGTCTGCTCACACTGACCTTACTTCAGCTTTCCTTTCATTTTCTATCAACATTTGCAAAAGGGATTTCTTTTACTCACATTTCAGGACTTTTTTTTCATAGATAGGCTTTAGATGAACTCACCAGCAGGCAAATGCATAGCAGAAGAAATGCATGATTTAATCTATGAGTCACATGTAACAAATAATGAATTATGGATGGCAGAACTCAAAAGAGAAGTCACAAGGCCTATGCAGCATTTAAATCCTGTTTACAACTCCAAATGAGAGTGCTTTGATGCAGATCTTTATGTATTTGCCTACAAGCAGGCAATATTTCAGCTTCCCAGGAGCCAGAAAGGGATGCCACCAGTTTCCCTTCAGTAGTTCCTGCTCTGTGTACCTTCTTATCCAACCAATTAAAAAAAAAAAAAAATAGAGACAGAAAAACAGGAAGCCACAGGAGACACAAAATCAATAAACATCCTTTAGCTGAAATGTGGAGAAGATGGAGAAGAGCTGCCACTGGCCAACCCACACTGCAGGGACGTCACCAGAGCTGCCAGGCTTTGCTGCAGCTGCTGACAGGCAGCACAGTGCTCCCTGGGCCCGGCGAAGCACTCCAGGGGCTCCACTTATACTGTGTGTCTTGTGGTTAAGTACTCAGATCTGCTTTCCTAAAGCCTCCATTTGGTATTTCTCGTGATCTTAACAAGTGTTACAATCATGCATCTGAAATTCATGTGTGGGCACAGGCAGACGAAACAAGAATCGTGCTTTGATTAGTTGTAGAAGAGTCTAGAGCTTGGAATAGAAGCATCCCCACAGAATGAAGTCTGTCAGTCTCGGGAGCTGGGCTATACCTTGATATATTTTAGCAATCAGTTAAGATATTGCTTGCACCTTCTGGCACACAAATTAGTGTGATACTAATCTAACATTGTTGCTCTTCAGTGCTGTACTGACTGACATCTGCTCTGCGCAGAACAGCCTCTGTCTCCTTGTCAGCAGAAGCAGCACCAGCTGATGCAGGGGACTGCATTTAAGCAAGAGCGGTGTGAGGGGGTACAGATGAGGTACTCACACTGGATGGTGTCCCTGGCTACCTCCTCAGCCAACCTCTTTGCCATCTGTCTGACATGGTACCTTCAGTTCCAGGCAGCTTCACTGTCTTTTCTTACATTTGTTCTTTGTTTCCCACAGTCCTTCTTTTCTTCCTCTGGGTAAAATGGTGATGTTCAGTTGCCTCCTCTCTCTCCCTCCTTTTCACCAGTGGATCTGTTTGCATTGCGGGCCCCTTGTGGCAAAGGCTCTCTTACATGGAATTTCTGCAGTGCCCACTACAGGGGTCCCAATCCCATGTGGACCCTCTTTGTGTTAGTTATATATCGCTGTACGTGAATGGCAGTGCCCTTTCTCCCAGTGGATGCAATAAGGTGATTTTGGCTGTTGCACACACTGTTTCTGAAGGCCCAGCTGAAATCGGATCTCACATGTGAGAGATGGCAGGTGATGGGCACCTTCTTCACACTCAGCTCTGTGAGAGCTCACTTGGGCCTCCACCCCTCTCCTTCACCTCCTCCATGCCATGTCTCCTGCAACTTGTGGAGCAAAGCCGTGCTTGTCTCCTTGCCCAAGCAGAGTGAGAGCCCCAGGCACCACCTCCTAATGCTCCCGAGGCTGGTGAATCAGAAGTAGTGGAAAGCCGCGCTGTTTCTCACTACGAGCAGCACTGTCCCAGGCTGGTGGCCTCCTTCTGCTGGGGCTGACGAGCTGCTGCTCCCCTGCCTGGAGTGAGGAAACCTCCTGCCTCTTCCAGCAGCATAGGCTGGCCCTACCTGTTCGAGCAGTGCTTTTGGGGCACTACCTACAGGGCTTTGGGGCTTAGTGAAACTTGCCAAGCTTGCCTTGGAATTCTGGTGTCAGATAGTGCTGAGGCAGTTCGGTGACTCTCCCAGGACAAAGCAGGCACTGAGCAGCACAGAAAGGTGAAGGGAGGGGCCTTCATTTTACCTATTACTACTCTTGCTAATGTGCTGGGGTTGGGGGTCTAACAGCAAAGACAAATGCTGGCCATCAGGGTGCTAGCTTGCACAGATTCCAGGAGAAAATCAGTGTTCAGAAAGGCAGGCACTGCAAACCGTGTTTGTCTTGTTAGCACATGATTTTATTTGCTTCTCCATATCACCTAGCCTGTGGCCTTCTTGAGTAGTTCAGGAAAATTGATACTTTGGCCATTAGCAGCCAGCTGAACCTCTCTCATTTGGAGGCATATTTCTCACTGGAAAATGCACGTGTCCTTAGCTGACATATAGGAAACAAAGGCAAAGTGTTCCTCTGCTATTCTGAATGATTTCTTGTTGAAAATAATGCAGTTATTATGAGCTTGATTCATTACCTCTCTTTAGAAAATCATACACATTTGGAGATAATGATCTTCAAATTTTTATTTCACTTCTAAGTGAGTAGGTTTGGCCTGTTTTGCTAAAAACAGTAATCCTGCTCCTGAATACCATCTGCCCATTCAGACCACTCAAGTAGCAAATTCAAGGCTGAAGCTTACAGCTTTAACTATCACATGATACACAGTCCCATGCCTCTTAATCAGAGCATCAAATGATTTATTCAGTGTGCTTTTTTATTTCCTGCCACAGCCTGCCCTCTCTGAAGTTTCCAGCAGCTCACAGCAGCCTGCACTCACTGTCAGGGCTGGCTCCTTCCTGATAAGCAGGGCTGTTGCACACTGCAGCCTTTCACGCCTTAGCTTGCTGTGTTCGTTTCTGTAACACATTTGAGAGCCAGCTGTTCTGTACTTACGTGACAGTGACCTGAAAATGGCATCTCATTGGTGAGTCACGGCCAGTGGCCATGCTGGGTGCTTATCCCAAGCTCACTTGCAAGAAAAGTTATTTATTTATATACTTATAACTAAGCAATAGTTCTTTAGATGTATGCAGTCCACTCATTTGGTCAAATTTTCTGTTGGAAATGTAACTTGGCCTAGTTACCCAAAGCTTGACCCAATGACTAGATTTTAAATCTGGAATTTTTGACATCGCAGATATGGCCGAGATTTTGCAGATCTATTGAAAGAACAATTCCAAGGCCTCGTCAAAGAACAATTTGGTCTAATGGAAGAGTATCATAGAAAGCAGGAAAAAAGATTATCCCTGTGTCCCTGATTTAAAATGTTTTATACAGGGCAGTGCATGATTCTTTATTTCATGGATTTCATATCTACTGCAATTAAGCCTTATGCACCAGACTCACCTTTTGCGTGAAACTGTTTTTCGCTATCAGGATGGAATCCTTCCTGACAGTGTGCGTTCCTGTGCAGCTCTGTGAAACAAACTGTGGAGGGCAGTGGCTTTTAAGAAAATTGAACTAGGGACATAAAGGGAAGTCAGATCACTAACCTAAATTCAGTTGCCTTCACAGAATCACAGAGTCACAGAATGGCCAGGGTTGGAAGGGACCTCAAGGATTATAAATCTCCAACCCCCCTGCCACAGGCAGGGCCAACAACCTCCCCATTTAATACTAGACCAGGCTGCCCAGGGCTCCATCCAGTCTGGCCTTGAACACCTCCAGGACAGGGCATCCACAATTTCTCTGGACAGCCTGTTCCTGTACCTTCTAGGCATGAAGGGTAAATAATGTCCTGAGAAGAGGGTGCAATGCCACGTTTCCTTGGGAGAAGAAAGGCCTTGGTTTGATTTCTCAGATTAACAGGCAATGGCAGTGCATTGTACACATTCCAAAGGACTTCTGAATAGGTCCTGTGTGTAGATGCTATGTCCCCAGCACTGATCACAACCTGGCCTCGTCACCCTGGACACCAATTTCAGTGCTAGAAGCACATAGATAGTTCCACAGACCTGTTATATCTGGTCCACAGTCAAGGAATTACAGGCTTTTCATTTCTCTCCAATCACTAACATCACATTTCTGCCTTTCATTTCTACATTACAGACCTTCTTTCCCTGACCAAAGTGGTTTGTTTGTGAAAACTGTGCTTACGCACAGGGGTCTTGCCACATTAAAGATTTAACATTGTGGACAGAGAACTTGAAAGCATTTTTTTCATCTTAGAAGTTCTTACAGCCTTAAAGAAGAACATCACACTGTCCTTCAGGGTGAACAGAGACTAAAGTTACTTTGGATAAACTGGAAAAGCTGATCTCCTGACTGCAGCTTGCAACAGTGATCACAAGACCATCCTCCTCCCATGTTAGTAATAAAAAGCAGCAATGAAAAAAAAACAGAAAGAAACAAAGTAAAAAATCTCTTTTTAATTGTAGTATGCTTAGACTAAGTTTATAGACGTGGGTTGTTTGTTTTACTGTAGGTCAGGGTGCAAATAAAGAATCTCGTTTCAGAATGGATCTTACCCTGCAGGTGCACACTTTGATTCTGGCCATTCTGTCAAAATGACAGCCTCCATCTGTGTCCGAGTCACACTGTGTTTCTCTTTCAGCCCTACAAGCAGAAATAAGAGCTGTTACACCATAAATAGGCTCAAGAGAAGCTGTTGTGAGAGCAGCAGAGCGTGCAACAGAGGATACCCATCCCAGCCTATGTTGACTCTTCAATGATGCTCTGTACAGGTTATAAGCAGAGTACTGCAACAGCACTGGAAAAGCAGAACCCCCCAGGATGAGTCATTTGTGTATCCTGTGATTGTGGTTTTATATACCAGGCTGCCAAGATAAAGATTAGCATCCTATGAAGGATGCTAAGAACTGTCATATGTTGCAGCTAAATCAGCACTGACTGTCTACACTGGTATCATCTTCTAATTTTTGTAACCTTCTTCATTCATCTCTTGTAGATTTTGTGTTACCAGGAACAGATATCTTGCTTTCTTAAAGGGCCTAGTATTGCTGTCACTGGCCAGGGGGGTATTGGTGGTGCAGAGGTGACACTTTGTCACACATGAAGCGTGAGTTTCTAAATGCGTTCAGCACGAGGAGAATGTGCTAAAGCAGCTGGCATGCAAAGTGCATTGCACAGGGTCGAGTCTCTGGTCTCCTGTGCTGCCTTGTGAAAACCTCTATTCATGAACTGTCTGATCAAGTCAGCACAAGAGGAAGCAAACCTGACCTCACTAGCACACAGCAAACACCTAGAGGTAAGTGTCCTCCTGCACCCACCGTGTCCATATCTGTTCTGTCTGTAGCCATGCTGACTTGGACACCATTCCCAGCTGCTGAAAGCAACAGCTTCTTCTTTCCAGATGGGACTCCTGTTGTACTGGGGAAGGTGATGAAGTACTGTGATGTCTGGTGGGCTACTCCACTCAGTCCCCCAGTACCAGCACCAGTTTCAAGTCCTTTTCTCAGACAGGAAGTGAAGGCAAATGATCGATTTTCACTCCCTCCTGGTCACATAAGAGCTGAGAAACAGCTGAGGAACTTTGTAGGGAGAGACAGAGACATTAAGATCTCTCCCCAATGCATGACATTATTGTCAGATACCTTTAAACAGCAGTCTGGTGGGATAAGTCCATGCTGCGCTAGAAACAGCTCTTTGCAACCTCTTGTTGATCCATGCTCTGACCATAAATCAACTCCTAGTCCCTGAATGAAGAATGGAAACTGCAGAAATGCTGGATGGGGAGATGAGTGTATCTGTATCTGATGAGGAGCCGGACACTTCCACACCACAGCTCACCAATGTGACAAGAAGCATGGCAGTGGTCACCCTGCAATCCACTCCAGGTTCTACTGCAATGTGCTGAGGCAGGGTAAGTGATACACCACAGCAACAAGATGAGGCCCTCAAGAAACCTCTTCAGGAACTTAAAGCTGTGGCTTAATCCTCTGAGTAAGCTCAGAGAATTGTGGCTGACACCGATCCATGTTGAGGCAGACATTGCAGGGCTTTAGTGGAAAGGCTAGGACATGAATATCACATGACCAGGCACGTTACATACCCTAATAGGCCATGTACTCTCTTTTCACTGAACTACACTGGGATAATTGTTAATGTCTTATCTGAGAATCTTACTGAAAATACATGACAAACATTGTGGCCAATTGTATAACCAGGTATGATTTTAGCTGTGTTTTCAGCAAACTCTTACCAAGATGCACTGAAGAAAGTGGCTAAATAAATTTATGTTTACCAACATCTGATATCAAGTGCTCCTTAAGAAAGGAGCTGGAGTGCATCATCTGTGTAGTTATTTAGAGCCATAAACACAGTAACACCAGAAATGAGCACAGAGAGAATGCAGAGATTTGCCAGGAAATGGTGACTGTATAATGTTATGTTTGCATTTAAAGGCAAGTGTTAACAGACCCTTCTGATGGACAATCAGCTTTATTTTTTAGTCAAAGCATAGACTTGCAAGCAATGTAAACCAAAATTGTCTGGAAGTGTAATGAATATACTTGCAGGAAACCCAAGCACTTTTAGTGATAAAGATAGCCACTACAATACCTAGTGCAACAACAACTGATGATCTGTGTGAAGTTTTGCATTTTCTTGATGTATTGGCAGATAGTCATAGCTTCATTCAGAAGCATCAATATGCACTTTTTTTTTCTTATTTGTTGCTGACCTAAGATAGTTCAAAAGCAAATCATGAATACTCTAGCCTTTGAGGTATCACAACCCTAAGCTGAGCTAACAAGAACATCCTGCAACCAAACAAAGAAAGAACGATCTTCTGTGCTTCGGGAATAACAAAAGGTATGGCAGTCGTGATCGTTACACTCAGCCATGCAGCCACGCACTGAGTGCTAATCAATAGAGACGGATTTAGAAACCCATGTAAGTCATTTCCAGCAACAGAGGTAAGCAGAGGGCTCAGAAATAGCATAGCAACGAGATTGTTCTGCCTGAAGAAAGCCATTGCCATCACTCCCACTCCATCGCCGTCAGCTGTGACACACACAGGCCATGTAAATGATATCATTTCAGTGCTGAGTGAGTGCAGCATTTGGGCTTTTCTACTCTGAAATTGCACATACTTGCAATCTGCTCTGAGTGCCTGTTTAAAATGATATTCATGTCAGGATTTGTATCCCATCTGGATATGAGCGAATACATGGCAAGCTGACTTTGTACCACACCCATATGGACCTGAAAGCCTGACACTCCCGCCCTCCCCCAGAAGAGCACTTACATCTTCAAGATGCAGACTGCTGGGCCTTCATCAGGCAGCTGTGCTGTTGGGCATTGCAGCCTGAATCTCAGCACCGGACCACACTTGCTTCTGTATCATCTCCCTTTGTTCGTGCCTGTCTCATGTCATTTTTTGATACTGAACTTCCCACTGTTTAAATCTCTCAAGGTCACTCCGCAGTTTTGGCTCTTATGCTAAAACAAGAGGGAAAGGTTTTGAAAGCACTTTCTCTGTGGCTGCAGGGACTCTGGCAGGGCACTGCTTAGGAGTATGACAGTGAAAGAGAAGTGGCGTGTGTCCATGCAGATCAAGTTTATGTGAATCACAAAAATCATTAAGATAGTTACAGCTTTGAACCCATATTTCACACATTCTTGCAACAGTGAGCGTTTGTGAGCACAGCATGTGCTGATATGGGACACTGTCTTTGACTAGAAACTCCAGACGTGCAAAGCAGTACAAGCAGTTGCCACTCAACTTGGATATGTGCAACTTCACAGCACTGTTGCAGTTCACTAAAGAAGCAGTGAACCCTGAGGATGTTGTCAAAGCACAAACTCTTTACTGGTTATCCATAGATACTTCCTTCTCATGCCTGCATCCTTTCAGGGGCTCTTTTGGAAAAATGGAGGCATGTGCTCAAGCAGTTGATGTGTACAACGCTTACACAGATGTGGTTTCAATTGAGCATAGAAGAAGCAAGGATGGTTTGCATTCAACCTCACTTCAGACTGTTTAGGGCAATTGCCTAGGCTCATCCCATAGCTAGTGAGGATAGAGAGGAGCATTTTCAGGGGCCAGTTCATCCCACTTATGCTATAAGCATCTTTTAGGATATAGTGCTTTGTCTGCTGGTTCCTATCTCTCCCCAGTGGCCACAGAAGAATGTTGGTTTAGATTGTGTATCTAATTCATAGCAGAATTAAGTTAGATAAGAAAAACCTCATGCCTTGGGATTATTGTGGGTATTCAGTTTCCAAGCAAAACTCTGAAGAGCCATCAAAACTTTCATAAATGCCCAGGTAGATGTAAAAACAGATTTGTGAGTGATTTTATAATAGGAAGATACTACAGCAACAGTACAAGTGTTGTTTTAGATTTCTGTGTTGTCAGACTGCAATTTCTGCTATATTTCATTTCCTACTGTGCCAGGTTTTGCCTCCCTGAAACTGAGAAGCAGTTTTCTTTGGGTATCAGAATAGGAGCTATGTGTACACCTGGACAATTTCCAAGAACTTTCCAAAACTGAGAAGTCATATTAAATAGGTTTTTTTTTTTTTGGTATTTTAGAACATAATTTTGTTGTTATGACTGGCAGAGGGGAATCCCGTCCTTGCTGTATATGTTGCATGAATGGGAGTTCAAAAAGAGACATCTAAAATAACAGTCTTGGAGGTATATCTGCAGATTTGAGTTGCATGTTTTGATGGTCCTAATGCTGTGATTAGAGAAATAGCATTGACTGGAGACCAGAGACTTTTATTTGAAAATCAGCTCAATTTGCTCATGCCTTTTGGCAATACTGGACAGAGTTCTGAGTTCTTCACACAGACTTCTTAGTTCACAGATTTTGCCTTAAGGCTGAACTGTTCCTTTTTTCTATGCCTATACGCAATGCTCCGGCAAACACAATAGAAAGGCATATTGGAAAGCTTTCAGCCTCTTGCACCGCTTAACACAATCCTTGTAGCTGTCTGTGTTGTTTACTCAGCCACCAATAGTAAAAAGCATTCCTTCTCATCTTTCTTTGCTTTATTTTTTAACCCAATCCAAGCCAAAAGAAAGCAGCCTCCCAGTTACAGACCTCTGCAGGAAAGGCTGCTTGTGTGAAGCTGAAATGGAGCCAGAGCACACCAGCAAGGAAGCTGTGATTTCATCCAACAGAAACTCAGAGGCTTCACTGCAGCACTTTGTGCAGATGCAGCATCATTCAGGCCGGGTGCTCAGCCAGTGCTAGCAGAGGAGTCCCTGAGAGGATGCCCGTGTGATTCTGTGCCACTGTCCCTTGCTTTGTAGCTCCAGCCCTCTGAGGAAACCAGGTATGCTCTGCAGGTTTTAAAATATTTTTTATTCCTTGGAATGATGCCTAATTTCCAAGGTAAGGATGAAGTGCATGCAAATGGGGAATATTGATAATAGAAGGAGATGTCACCAAGGATGTCACCGTTCCTCTTGTGGTGGAGCTGTGGCAGTCAGGTGTCCTGGGGGAGGAGGTGCAAGAAAATGAGCCTAAGTGAGATAGCTGGGCACTGCTGTGGGAGGGTTCAGAGTAGTCTGCAGCCAAATAGTGGGAATCCTGAGAGGTTCTGCCATAAGGACCAAGTGATCAGAGGTGAGTAGCAGCTATGGCATGAGCTGTGGTGCTTGTCTGGGGAATGCTCAGACGTGAAGAGTGCTGTTGGCTTGAGATTTGTGCTTCACCTGGTGTCAAGCCAGCACTCAAGGAGTGCTGGTGGGCAGCTGGTGTGGAGGGCTCAGGGAGCTGTGAGCTGGGTTGGGGAAACACTGGAGATCAGAGCAAACACACTTGCACCAGTGAGACTCCAGGGTGACTGCTGAAAGCTGTAGAGTAACACCAACAAAACTGTAAACAGGACTTGGCCTTGCAATTAGAAAAGAAGGTTTGGCAGAGGGCTTGGAGGGGTGCTGTGTGCTAGCTTCTGGTTGTATAAATGTATGTTTCTCAAATATCTGAGCTAGTTTCTGAGTTTGTGTCTGAAGCATTCTGAGCCTGTATCATCTTTCATGTGGAACAAAGAAACTGTTGCATTTCAGACAGTCACCCCCTCAATTATTTAATGTAACTAAATACCTGTGCCCAGCTCCGCAGACTTACGTAAAGCTGCAAAACTGGCTCAGTTCCTTGCCTTGAATCAGTGCTATTTTCCTTTTCTGTAAGCTACGTTATGGCATCAAATGAGTGAATTGGAGCAATGCAAGAGACATTTGGACAAAGAACAGAAAACATGACCAGGCAAGTGTGGAGGGGAGGGAACGTGATGCTCCCTGGACAGCCCGGGCTGCAACGCAGTCTGCTGCTACTTGTGGGGAAGTGAGAGCATCTGAAGTACGACACACTTTGTGTTTGACAATAAATCCAGAGCCTGCTCAAGAATGCTCATCTGGAGAAAGTGGCTCCTACAGAAAGGCAGGGAGCACAAAGGCTGAGTGTTATCACAGGGGCTGCTCCATGAGCCGTGTTTGTCCAAGGACAGACAATGAGTACCCTGTGAGCTGCCCTGATGCTGATTTTTGCACCCCTTTTCTTTCTCTGCATCATCATTCCTCCTTCCAAATCTGTCTCCTGTGCCAGAGATGAAGCTGTAAGTACCAGGAGGGAATAATGTCTGTAAACATTCTCACTAGAAGAGCCGTAGGAAAACGTCCCTTTTGCTCTGCCAACATGAGCACCTATTATCCACTGTGCTAGGTGGGGAGCAGGCTCTGAAGCACCTCAGGTCTCACAAATGCCTCCAGCACCTGCAGGGCATTTCTGAGCAGCCCCAAAGGCACTAAGGTGTTGCTGTACCAGCAGGTGAGGAGTTCCAGAAGAAGGTTGCCTCTCCCTGGTCCTGCTTCCCCACAGCTGGCAATTGTTGCCATGAGCACTTCTGGTTAGCGCCTTGCATAGAGTCATAAACTCATAGACTCATAGAATGGCTTGGGTTGGAAGAGACCTTAAAGATTGTCTAGATCCACCCATCCTGTGTAGATGGCTTTGTAGGGAGCACTGCTGCCACTGTTGTTTCAGTAATGCCAAGAGCCATCAGCAGGCTTTCTGTGACTAAATGTAGCGTGCTCCACTGTTATTTATGGAGACGGATGGCTGCCTCTGGAGAGGGAGACATCCATTGTTCTAATCAGAGAAAAAGCCTGTTAAAATTGAGCATCTACCTCTGATGAATTTCCTTCCCCTTTCCAGCAGAGATAATTCACTCAGAAGTTTGTGTCTCTCTTTTATGCTTTTTGCCTCTCACACTGAGGGCCAGAACATTTTGATTACTGCACTGGGGACTGGAGATGAAGATGTTAGATTGCCAACCTCAAATCATGGGGGGAAACGCAGTCCGAGGGTTGTGCAGTAACAGAATTGTTTTGTTTATTGTTAAGTTAGCAAAAATTACAGACTTTCTGTGCCAGAAAATGATCTATGTTTATTAATTTATTCACAGTGTTGTGATTAACATATTTCTGCTGACAGTCTGGCTGCTTATTTGTTTGCCTTAAACAAGCAAATGAGTAAATGAAAAACAGTTAAAATAGAGTACTATCATTTGTTTGTGAAAGACAGAAAGTTTTGCTGCTGAATCTTTCTAATGCTTCACTGATGGCAATAAAATGATGTTTAGAACAACCGAGCTGAAAGAAAGAGAAAAAGAAAGAAAGTGGAGGGGAGGAAGGGGAATACAGATTAGTACAACAAATGCTTTTTGTCTGTGTTTTGATATCTGACCTGAAGTGGTCATAAAGGCCTGTAGAAAGAAAGAGTTCCCCATGAAGTCTCACAGAAATCTGTGCTTGGCCTTGTGTTGAACATACAGGTTACCCGGAAAATGAAGAGCAGCTTGAGGTGCAAGTGCTTCTGGATGATCAGTTTCACTAGGTAGTAAAATGAAGGTCAGCTGGGAAGAAGATTTCAAGGTGTGGGTTTTCTGAACAAAAGCCCCCCTGCTGAAACAACCCAGATTTCCAAGGCAAAGAGAGAAGTGCCAGATTTCCAACCCCCAGTGCTCAGGCAGAAGAGGTCTCTGGATTATGGTGGGTTTTTATGAAGCTGTCAGCCCAGCACTCAGTGGTGGAAGGGGAGTGTAACATTAGGAAAGCACAAAGAGGAAAACATAGCATAGTATGCTGGAAATTTGTTGGGGAAGCAGCACCTTGAATATTGTCTGCAGCTCCAGTTCTCTCATGCTAAAAAAGAACAACAAAAGGTAGAAAAAAGGACAAGATACCTGAAGCAACTTGTACACCATGAATGATTAAACAGCCTGGGACTGGTGAGGAGTGGAAAAAAAGGAGGGGAGATTTGACAATGAATCCTAACACCACAGGCAGCACAGTGAGATGGACTAGAGAAAGACTTTTCTGTTTTACAACACAGAAGAACTAGAGAAAACCAACAGAAATAGGCGGGCAAGATCAGAAAAGATAAAGAGAGGCATAAAAATCTTTGTTATTGTGAGTTGCAGATGAGCTTTTTGCAGTGGATTAGGAACATAAGGAGGTCTGTATTTTCCCATGGATAGGAGATCCAACTAGAGACACAAGTGGACTTAAAAAGGATGCATGGAAATGGCAGTCTGGCCTGCCTTTATTGAGGTCTCTCCCTGGCTTCACTGGCTCAGCTCGAGAGCTCTTTCCTTTTCATGTTTATTTACTGTAGAACAGAGTTTGGGCTGTGGAGTTTGGGCACATGACAGTGTGTAACTGTAAGAAATTACCATCTGATGTAATCCATACATTTGGTACTCATGAGAAAGTGCAAACTACAGCTCAAAGTGCTGTATGTATACATTTATTATACTATTTGCATTCCTCATTATGCTTCTCTCATTTTTGTAGTGTGAATTGTTCCAACTTCAATTGTTTCTACAAAAACTGATTACAATCAAGCTTTCTCACATCATCAAAACTCAGGACGTACCGAGCATTTTAATTCCAATTTAGCCTACCTAGCAATTAGTGATTTACCTCAATGACTTTTAAGTTCACTTTAAACTGGGTGAATTCCTTCTAAATGGGAAGGCCAAGGTTGGTTAAACTATATGGGCTAATTCAAAACTGGTAATTCAAGTCATTTTGACTTCTTTCCCACTGATTACATGTAGGACAAATATAGAGTTCATACAACATGCTATAGCCAGGCTCTCTGGTTACCTGCTTATCTTTTCTGGAAACTGGAATTAGAACCACCATTCAGCTCAGTGCTGGCCAGGAGTTATTGCAGTGGAGTCAAGCACTTCTGGTGATCCAGCCCCGCAAGCCTAGACAGCTAAAGGATGCTTCCTGAACTTTCAGCTCTGAAGCCATTTAACCTCACTTAATTTTGCCTTTGCAAACACATTAAATAATGTTTTCATTTTCTCCTTTCTGGTTTTGTGTACCACTCTAGTCAGCTAGTCAAACATGAAGAACTCAGGCATGAAACATAACCAGCCTGGCTTTGTGTGTCCTTGTATTTGTTCCTCCTCCAGCATTCATCCAGAAGGGCATCAGCTCTTCCTTACTGCTTCCTCTTCAGACTGCTTCCTTACATGGTATATGTATTATATATCACCCACATCTAAACTAGCATGTTATTTTAATAGCACTCACAACATTCAGTGATTCCCTAAGTGCAAAGTTATATTACCATTTTTCTCACTCCTTCAGATATATCACAGTACCATAAGAAAAAGTGGAGTATGTGCTTCCTTGGGAAAACAGATTAATTCTCATCCTCTGCAAATCTGAGCTGTTTGAAGGTGCTCTTTCTAGAAGCCTTAAGTTGGTGGTTCCAAGGCAGCTCACATGTATCACTTCACAGTTTTAATTAGGCTTTATTGTACCATTAAAATATAGGTAGACCTTCTCAGAAAGATAAGGAAGGACTGTAGAAATGGCCCACAAAATCTGGGCCTTACATTTTGTACTATTTTCAACTGAAGTCAGATGATGAGAATAGGTGGTGGCTTATGAAATGTGTGGTGGCTACTTACAAAGTTCTCAGATTGGACAGTGGCCCACTGACCCCTACAATTTTGGAACCAATTATCTAAATCCACCATGTGTGAATGTTAACACTGCATACTAAAGAACATGAGTAATAATGCTGTTTATGTCTCAGTGGTGTGGACTTGGTCTATTGTTCAAGGAAACAAGTGGAAAATGCCATTCACAGTCTGTTATCTTGCTTGTTTTCCATGTCATTACCACCTGCTTGTAAGCAGAGGAGGGAGAATTAGAGCAGAATATTATAATTTAGGAAGAATTCTGCTGAAAAACTGCGGATTTAAGTGGGATTCAGATTTTGATTGCAGACTAGAGAGAGTTAGCAGTGAATTATGTTGATACAAAGAACCAGACTTGATTTAAAAGTTATTCAGGCATGAACTGAGGTTGTGTTAGTCACTTTAATGGAGATGTTGCAAATTTATATTGACGCACATTAATTCAGAATCAATTCCCTCATGCATAGTATTTTATGGTAAAGCACTGATTTAAAACTGAGCAGCAGGCATGCTGTCATATCTGGAGCAGGAGTTTTAATTACTAGAATTAAAGAAACTCCATGCATCTAAAAGACAGGTTGCACTGATAAAATCTTTAATTTTATTTCTTCACCTTTCTTAGCAGTATTATTTTTTTTTTTCAGTTCAACTGGAATTTTTTAGTCTGGAGAAGAGATACCTAGGGGAGAACTTACCACTCCCTACCTATGATGACCTGAAAGGCAGTTGTAGTGAGGTGGGGGTCGATCAGCCTCTTCTCCAGATAACAGCAACAGAATGAAAAGGAATGGCCTCAAGTTGCACCAGGGAAGGCTCAGGCTGGGTGTTAGGAAACATTCCTTCACAGAAAGAGCAATGAGGCAGTGGCACAGGCTGCCCAGGGAGGTGGTGCAGTCACCATCCCTAGAGGTGTTCAGGAAACGGGTGGATGTGGCACTGAGGGACGTGGTTAGTGCGCATGGTGGGGATGGGTTGGACGTTGGACTAGGTGACCTTGGTGGTCTTTTCCGACTGTAATGATTCTATTCCATACTATACCATACTATACTATACATCTAAGCTAACTGCCTGGTGGGCCACAGCATCCTGGTGCCTGGAACTTTCCCAAGATCTGGCTCCTTGCATGCACGCAATCCCTCACAGGCCCTGAGACAGGGTGTGAAGTGCCAACAGAGCGGGGCCCAGGCCAACTCTGAGGCCAGGGAGCACGAGGCTGATGCTCCAGGAAGGCCTGAGGCAGCCGGGGGTGCGCTGTGCTGTGATGTGTGTGTGCCCAGTGAGCCTTGCTTGTTTTCAAGGGTCTGTCAGACTTCGGCACCCCTGGATAGGAGCACTGATGTGCAAATAATATAGAGGCTGTGCTTGCACTGCTGCCCCTTTTGGAACATTAACAGGTGCCCTGTCCTGGCTTGTTGGCTTCCCAGGGAGGGTGGCAGGGCACGTTGCTGATTTATGCGCAGACGTGATTTGTTTGCATCGGATCAGAGCGGGGCTGAGGAAACAGCACTCAGGGCCTTTCCGCCAGCTCTCAGCCAGCTGCCCGCTAACCGCAGCCCATCTGCCTCAAGAATTCACTAAGGGTGAACACCGAAGCCACGGCTGCCTGCAAAGCGCTGCGTATGTGACAACCGGCAGCGGGCGGGCAGCGGGCGGGGCCCCGGCAGCGCTGACCCCGCCCAGCGGGGGTCTCCCCCCTCCCCAACACACACCGCTCCCATTGGCTGCGGCGCGCGCGTGACACCGCCTCCCCCGCAGCCCGCTCCTTCCCTCCCTCCCTCCGGTGCTGGCGGAGCGGGAACGGCGGGGGCGCGAGCGGCGGCGTCAGCGTCAGGTGGGACGGGCGCGGGGCGGGCGCTGCGTTGCCCGGGCGACGGGGCCGGGTCCCGCCATGGGCCGCTGTCAGCGCGATAAGAGCGGGGCGGGCGGCCTCGCGCGGCGGCCGCGGCGAGGCGAGGAGCGGGTAAGGGGGCGGCGGATGACGGCGGCTGCGACCTCGCGGGGTCCGCGTCGCGTTCGGGCGGGGCGGATCGAGGTCCCGGTACGCGGGGCCGGGCGCGTCGTTAACCGGCGCCAGCTCGGCTGCGCGGCGGGAGACGGAAGAGGCGGCTGCGGGCGGAGCTCGCGCTGCCAGGGAAGGGGCCGGGCCGCGGCGGCTCTGCCGATTCCGAGTGCCGCTCCGCGCGGCCGTCCTGACGTGCGGCCTCCGGCTTTGCCGAAAGAAGACGCGGAGCGCTGCCCTGCTGTGAGAGCCGCGTGTGCTGCCGTCGGCGTCGGGAAGCCGGTGGTCGCTCGGGTGCGGGCTGCGCGAGGCCGGGGCTCGGGGCCTCCGAGCCGGGCTGTCACCTGTGTGCCCGCTGTAAGCAGCAAGCAGGGGAGCAACGAGAGCTCCTGTGGGTATTCCGCAGTCATGTGAGCCTGCGTGGAGATGTGTGGAGATGCTAACATTAGTTAACTTTTAGGTACTACCTAGCGTTCCCAAATGAAACCCTGATCTGCCTCTTAGGTCTTCATAAGCTGAGAGTGGGTGCTGGAGGACAAAATGCTTTGTGTAAGAGAAGCAGGGAAGAAGTCAGGAAGGTGGATTGGCTGTGTGATCGAGTGTGGGAACTGGGAAAGCATCTGGTGTGGGTATAGACAGGAGCTAGGTGAAAGTTGGGACAGGAGGCACCCTTGATTGTAGTGCTGCATGAGCCAATCGGAGCTGTGTGAAAGCATCTGAAGGAAACTTGTCAGTGATGAACAAACCTGTGCTACTGCCAGGGTCGTATTGCTGCCTGTGGGGTGGTGTGATAACCTGTGGCAGAAGCTGTTATGAGATGGTTTTTACTTATGTGTATGCTGGATAGCGAAGAAGAGATGCCCGCAACACTTAACAGCAGGAAATATCTGTAGGAGAGGTGAATCTGTTGACACTGGCTGCATTTGCTTGCTTGGCCAGGGGGCAGTTCTGCATGGAGCTTTTATTGGAATGGATCCTTAGGGTGTGAGAAGCTATAAAAGTACGGTGGGTTTCCTCTTTTTTAACTGTAAGCTGGCAGGCTGTTATCAGCCACGTGAAGATAAAAGTATCCCATTAATTTAGGAAATGTGCAGTATAACGACCCCAAGAGTTTCTGTTGGACACTTAAAATATTCAGTGAATGAAGAACAGGAATGCTTTCGTGCCTTGTCACAGATAAGGAGAAATCGGCCTTTTTGTGCGGTGTTCTAATTTCATTCCTGATCAGGTTTTGGAAAGAGAATCTTGAAAGTTAGAAGCAAATTGCTTTCCTTGCTGTGCTTCTCAAACCAGCATTTAGAAGTGAGAAAGGAAGGCACTTGGTTGTTATGTGCTGTATAGAACTTGCATGGATTTCTTCAAGGGAATTTTTTGTCACCACCTTCCAGCTTTCCCTCTTTCCCCCCCCATCAGTGTTTTTATAGTGTACTCAGAGAGCTTTTGTTTTTAAAATGTTGAATTGTAATATTTTCTGTTGGGTCAGTAACCATGTAGTTAGATTTCTTAAATGCTTCTTTTACGTCTTCCTTTCTCAGTCCTCTGTAGCCTTTCAGTGCGCCTCTGTTTTGCTTTGTAGGGCAGCTCTAGACAGGGAGAAAAGAGACTGAGAGCACTTGAGCAGGAGCAAAAGATCTGATGGGAAATAAAGCACTGAGTATCTAAACATTAGAGAAGAGAAACTGTATGTTCCTACCACTTATTGCAAGTATGTTGCTGCTTTTATTTCACTTTCGTAGTGCTGAGCTTAACTCTAAAGAAATATGAACAAGTGCTTCAGGAAGCTCTTGGTTCTGAGTTTTTTTACTCTCTGTGATTTCCTTAATGGTGCATCCTTATTAATATGCAATTGTACACTCTTTTAGCTTGTGCAGACACTTGAGTTTCCTTTGTATTTGAAGAATTTTGCTGTTATCATGCTGATATTTTTTTGAGATAAAAAACACTGAGACAATACAGCACTTAGAGAATTCTGAACCCAAAATTGGTTCTTATCTTTTGTGGGTAGAAAGGAGCAGAGGGGAAGGGAAGTGGAATGATTATATTGTAAGGGGAGCCTGTTGTGCCAGGAAGCACTTGCTGCCAAAAATGCTCTTACTTGTCCTCAGCAGATGAATTTAACTTGATTGGAGTAAACAGCCATCATGGACATGACCTCTCCAAGGTCTCTCCTGTCCCTCTCCGAGGAGGTTCAGGCTCTGTACACTTCTTAAATGGAGAGCTTCCCTAGCAGAGAGCTGTAGCAGCTGCTGCCCAAGATGTCATTGTTTAATATTGGTAATTGGTTTAGCTTCAATGTGCTCTTCTTTAGGATTTGGGAAGAGTAGTTTGTATTAGTTTATAAGCATTGTTATATGCAAGGAAGGGGAGACTAATATCTGTTTGGGGTCATTTTATACCATCTTTTTCAGCTCAAGGGGATTGTGAGCATCAGTGGTTCTGATGC